TAGTGTTGTTTGTTTATATTTATTTATAACTTATAACATGCACAAAATAAAAAAGAAAATAATATTAGTCTCATGTATTCACAATTTATAATTACAAAGATCAGCACACGTACTGTACACACCTATTCGTTCGAGAATTGTCACACATCTGACAGTGAGGGTCTGACCCTGCCTATCCTTCTTTTTAAGCGCTCGTCTTTGCTCTTCCCTTTCTCTTTCCTCTATCGCTCTAGTCCACGTATGCCTATGCATACATCATAATACGCGCTCACGATACTTTCGATTCGTCACTTTTCCGTCGTAGATTTCCCATTTTACAATTACGTGACTCATAGCCTGGTGATAATGGATAAAAGAGACAGATAGGACGTTGGTATAAGTTACAGTTATGATTTCACATATTCGAGATAGCTTGGTAGCTCGAACGGCCCCAGGCTTTCGCCCGTGCACGCTAGGTGACTTTCATTACAAGCATTTAGCTTTCCGAAGTCTATGACAACAACTGTTTAGCATTGACGGCCGCGAATTTCGCACCAATAAGCTGCCTCAACTTGTTCCATTATGTTATCAACACAATTTCATATTTATTTTCACATTTTCACTTCGAAGTCCTTCTCTCTTCTTTTTCCGTTATTTACACTTGTAGGTCATTTCATTGTTATCCACATTTGATATCATCACTTATCACATACTGCCATAACGCTCGTGTCTGTCCGCTTCAACTGTCAAGAATTAACGCGATTGGCGAAGCGTAGTGATAGCGGGCCAATAGAGAGCGGGGTCCTTGCCATAATGCGGTTTGCGCGCCAATTTTCGTACGTGTGTTAATCGTGCCGAATAGTATGGCCGAATATTCGGCTATTCAGCCACGCTCCTGGCCGAATATTCGTTATTCGGCCTGTCAAGAATTAACGCGATTGGCGAAGCGTAGTGATAGCGGGCCAATAGAGAGCGGGGTCCTTGCCATAATGCGGTTTGCGCACCAAGCACCTCTGGTATGCTGAAGCCTGGCATATCTGCAAAGCAAGCCAAAAAGGATTAGCTATCAACTTCCGAGATTCAAGCAAAGTATCGGCAGCCTGGCGAGCAAGTATATTATAAAGTCAAGAACGATGGACAGCGGCAACTTACTTAAGGGCAGAAATTCTTAATTTAATGTATTTGCTAAACACATTGTGTATGTTTGGTATTTTATGTCTGTATTTTTATTTTTATTTTTACTGTTATTTTATATCCTGAACGTCATATTTTTAACGTTCTAATAGCTAATGTGGTTATATAATGACAACCGTTATATAGAGATGGCGTTATTCCAGTAGAATATCATTTTTAAAAACGTTCCAAAACGCTTGTATCGTTAATTCAAGTTTGGAGTTCGATTTTTTCTGTTTTTTCTTGAGAAAGGTCATTGAATATGACCGAAAACATTAGAATTTAATAAATACGGCTGCATATTTAAAGGTTTTCTTGAGTGTGTTTAGTTAGGAATTAGTCTAGAATTGGTTAATTTTATAGAAGAAAACCTATCAAACAGCCTTAGTCTGTAAACTTCACACGTGTCGGGCTGTGATTGGCTCATGTACTTAATGATTCCTACAACGTAAAATTCAATTACTGTGGAACATATCTGAGCGTTATATGGGGGTTTACTATAATTTGATAAAAAATAATTAATAAAATGCATAACTAATCTTCAGTAGAGTGTCTGCAATATTCCATGCTTAATTCCAATTTCAGAAGCTGTTTGTCTTGCCTTTTGGATATCATCATCAATTTTAGAAGTTTTGGTATCATTACCATCACTATCATCTCCCAAATGGTTGTGATCATTTGTCTGTCTATGGGTTAAATCAGTTTCAATAAGTTTTTGAAGGTCATCTTCATCTTAAATATTCTTTATTACTTCTGGTAGTAGTAATGTCATTGAAAGACCAACTCTGGGTTCAACTCCAAACATAGCTTTGNAACGAAGAAGAAACCCATCATCTTAGGGTATGTGAATAATATCCCAGTCAAATTTCGAATAGATCCAGAGCTTAATGAGACTTTAGTGTCTACAGAAATTGCCAATAAATTAAAAGGGAAGGCCCCAGTAAAATTTGGACAACGAAGGAAGATGGTAGGTCCGAATGGAGAATCCATCTCAACCATAGGCATGACTGTCCCTATTTTCAAATTTAGAGGATACAAGTTCCCCAGATCGTGCAAAATAGTCCGATCGGAAATCACCGCTCCTTGTGAAGGGATCATCGGACGAGATATAATAAAAGAAGAAGGCCTCATTTTCGATGATGCAAACGAGAAAATAATGTTACCGAATGGCAAAATTGTTCATTTTTGCTCAAACTGTAAACCTCGACAGAAGCCGAAAAGACGAAAACTCGACACTACGGAAGAAGAAGAGCTTCCTGAAAAAATGGTCATACGACTTATGCATCAAGATCAATCGCATGTCCCAAGGGTGCGAAATGAAGGCACACAATCTTACAAAAATAGGAAAAGACGAAGACAAAAGCAAAAGCGAGTTCCAGGTAACGTACCGAAAGAGTCTACAACTCCTTCCGGTGAGAATAGAATTCAAATCGTCCGAGCCCAAAATCCGACCCCTTCCCACCAAGAAAGAAAAAGAAGAACCTTGGAAAGCAAAGTGGAAATGACGATGCATCGAAAGGTTAAAAGAAAAAGAGTAGCGCAGCGAGAAGCTACGCTTCCTACACACCTACAGAAACCGGAAATTCGTCATCAATCTGACATAGAAATCGT